GGGGGGGGTGTTGGAGTTTTTAAGCTACGAACAGTTTCCTGTGATTTCTTCGGGAAGGAAAATTAAACCCTCTCTCCCCGCCGTCTCCTTCCTGACAAGGCGCAGCTAGGGGATGCTTGAAGAGGTCTCGCTCCGGTCTCCCCTCAGACACCGGCTGGAGAGGCCTGGGAAGGCAGGCCTGGGGTAGGGCTCCCAGAGCCCGGGGCTGCTTCCCGCCCCGTTCGGCCCCAGGGCCAGCCTCCGCGTCGCGGCGGGCTGCCCGAGGCCGCGCAGGCCTCCCCAGGACCCGGCTGAGCCGGAGGCTGGAGACCTCCGGATCTGTGACTCCCGGGGGAGGAGGGCCAGCCGGCATATCCTCACTCCAAACGAACGAGGGCCTGTTTTCTTTTCGCTTTTCCCAGTCTCTCTCCAGCCTTTAGGAACTAAGAAAGGCATGGCTTTGAGTCCAAGTTCTGCAATTTATGCACAAACCTAACCTTAGGCAAATGACTCAACTTCCCTTAGCCTGTCTGACCTTTCCAATGGGGGACGACCCCTTCACAGAGCTGTGATGCGCAAAAAGAGATAATGGATGTAAAATGCCTGGAACATAGCAGGCGCCAAGGAAATTCTTTCATTGCTCCCTCTTTTCCCTCTCCATTTCCTATTAAAAACTTTCCCTCTCTGAGATGTATTAGGCTTCAACAAGGTTCTTAAAGACCACGGGCCCATTCTCTAACCACTGCGTGCACCCTGCCAGAGACTCAACCCTTAACCAGCGCCCAGTCAGCTGCCTGGCTGCACCACTTCTCCAAAGACCAACAACCTGGCCTTCGGGGCAGTCCCAACTGCCCCTCCCCCAACCAGCCCCCAGATTCAGGCTCAACCTAGAATCTCTTGGCGACTCAAGGGCCATACCCAGGTGTGCGGTGAAGCTGGATTTAGAAAATGAAAAGTGATTGCAGAGGAAACCCGAATGAACGAGTCAAATGCAGGGTCCCATGTCCTGGGTCTGCCTTGGAGGGGGGTCAGTCTGGAGTGACTTACTTGCCAGGAGGAGGAGAGGGGCCAGTGAGCATCTATGCGGCTTATCTCACATAAGGGCACAAAGTTGAGGCAGCTCAAAATTATACTTTCCATACACTGTACATAACTTTTAGACGACGTAAGTATATGTGTGCTTGTAATGCCCAAGCACATGCACTCATGTTCATGTGTGCAACTTACATGTTAATCGCCGTTGGCAAAAACACGGCCAGCAGGAAGGTGAAGCTAGGGTCTACACCTGGGCACCAAGTACCAAGTGTCCACTGCCAGGCTGAGGGAAGCATCTGTAAAGTGGTTCCAGTACAATTGCACGCTCAGGTGATTCTACCTAAATCCCTGTGTGCTTTTTCTAGGAGGCTGTGTTTTGCATATTTGCAAAAACTGTTTAAGTTACAAGTATGTGTGTACATGCTGCACATGCACAGATGCCCCAACGTGAGGGAAGGACCGTAAACCCAAAGACGCGTGTGCGCGTGTTCACACAGACTTGTGCTTTGGCGTCTGCACGCGGCCTGCACCCGGCACGCGGACGCCTACACAGGCATGTTTTCCTGACTCGTCTGGGGCACTTTCTTTCAAAGAAAGTAGAGGAATGAAAGTCTAATCTGGGAGTCACCAGGGTTCATCTGGAGGTCGCCCAAGGGGTTAGAAAAATTGTGACAACGCTGGAGGGTTTGTCCTTGGTGCAGCTCTGAGGCCGGGCTGGATGGATGCAATACGTTTTCGAGAACTCAGGGGGCTGCCTCGGGAGCTGGGGGGCGGAGGGGAGGAGCGCTCGGTAACTCCTGCCTCGGGGCTCCGCAGGAAACGTAGAAACACACCCCGCGGCTCTTCACTCCCCCCAGACGTGTGAGCACGGGGTTCCGTCGCCACCTCTCTGACCAGCAGCCCACACCCAGCGCTGACCGATCGCAAATTCCCTGGCAGCCAGGAGTCCGTTTATCTCTCGGTGTCAGGCTGGGACGCGCTCGGGGCGGCCCGAGGCTCAAACGCATCTCCCGCCGCGGGGCGGGATCTGGGTGCCGGGCCCGGGGCGCAGAGGCCGGTAACTTTGCTAATCTCCCGCCGCGGCGCGGGGTACGTGGCACCGCCGCCAAGCCCTGTCCGCGGAGACTAAACAAGGAGAGGAACAGGCTGTAAACACACGTCCTGACACGTGAGTGACATTTACACGGCGCGAGGAGCCGCAGCCGCGGGGAAGGCGGGGGCGGAGGGCGCAGCACCCGCAGGTACACGCAGCCCTCGGAGGTGCGCCGAGCGGCGGCCCCTCGACGCCCCTCCCCCAGACGCGGGAGAAGAGCCCCTAAGTCTCAGAACCTGCCTTTGGTGGGAGGTGACAGGTGAACGGAATTCAGGTCTGGCCACTCTTCGCCGCTGCCTACCTCTCCACCATCTGCTTCCTCGCAGACGAGCAGACCCGGCGCATAATGAGGCAGCAGCCTCCAGCCGGCCACCGTGACTAACTCAG